AATATGTAAACCACCATCAATCAATGCAAAACAGTGATAACTGGAAACTCAAGTTTTGAAATAAACTAATATGGATTGATTAATATGAACAGTGATAATAGCTTAAGGCATATTAGATGTCAAATTATACGCAATCTATCAGATACCAGCATCTGAATCAAGTTCTTTGTATTAATTAGAGAAAGTGGTGAATCAAGATCTGTAAGAGAATGATGTTAAAGGGGTTGCCTTGACAATGAGAAGATTGAGTCATAAAAATGAAACTCGTAATCAAAATCATATTTCTGTTTTTCTGAAATGATGGTTGTTCAGTAATTAGGAATCATTAGTTCAGCTCTTTCCAATACTTTCAATTTGCACATTTGCTTCTTTTGATATATACGAGGCTCTGATGAGAGAATCTGACTTCAATCCAAGACAAGAGTCAAGACAAAATTTATTATTTTGAAACATATTTGTCACAAAACTAAATTGCATATTGCTATCAATGCTTATCTTTGTGATATTGTCTTAATATAATATTAAGATATATTGCATTTAATTATTAAAATAGCCGATTATGATTATACTCTCACTGTAATTACATGAAAACCTGCTTATGTGAGCACCTATTGTAACATTCTACAGTCTACTATAGCAAGAAGAGAGCACAAGTTTTAGATGAGCACCTCTGTAGAGTTAATGTCTTGCAATATTAAGTCTATATTTTGATGTCCAGTAAACTCCCATGTATGAACAATTTTCAATCTGACTATTTGTAGTTGGTAGCCGATCAGTATTGAGACAGTTTAGAAAGGTTTTTACTGTATATTATTAGAGTAAATGTTAAACGGCCCCAGGAGGATACTAATTACAGTATACCACATACAATCCAATAAAGACTTTATCTGGTTTGATGATAAATCATCGCATTTCAATTGTTTTGCTCCTAAGGACATGCTCCAAACTGTTCTATTATAGTATTAGTAGTCTGGAATCATATCAATAAAAAGCTGTAGTAACTAGTACCCCAGAATTTCCAAGACATCAACTTTGCTTCCATTCATAATTCATTGAATCAGAAATGGTTTTTCGTTTCATCATGACAAAACAAGGGCAAAATGTTTCAATTTTTTAAATTAGTTCCAATGTTTTTTTTAGGTAATAGAAACATCAATGCAAACATCCAGAAAGATGTGATAAGTACCAAAAGGAGCAACAATGAGTGATGCTGACACAGTGTTTCAGCAATTCTACTCGGTATTAAAGGTTAAATATGACGAATAACTCATATATAAGGGTTTGTGGAGATCTATAATCATATCACAAGTGTCCCATAAAATACCCTGTTTGATGTAAGATATCTTATTCTAACATTATGTCCAGTGTTTTACAATAGCACTTACTAATATGGTATTGTTCCATTTGATGTCTCGTTAATAATGTTAGATAAATAGCAAATCAGTTGAGACCATGAGCGATAATCTCACCAGAAATTCAAAAATGATGGGGCTTGCATATTGCATACCCAACCACATGGCACGATGCCTACAGGAGGACCTTAATACCACACATCCTCAAAAAATAACATTTTCTGACAATGTCGCCACCTTGCATTTATTACAGATGCCAAACGCAGACCATTAAATACCTACCACTGACCACTAAATGCCAAACTTTTCATGATAAAGTTGGAGATAATAACAATATATATCGCCACTTGTGGTGGTGACATAACAAAATCAAGTTCCTCTTGTCTGGAAAAGTATGAGAAAAATTGCCGCAAGGATAGAATAGTTCAAGAAAAGAGTAGACTAGATCACCAAGACCAGGTGCTTCACTATGTAACTTTTTATCTCTGAGTTATTACTTGTAAGCAGGGAGCACATCAAAAGCTTATCCTATAAATCCTCACACAAAATGTAGCTATAGCTATCACATGGCAGCTTTGGTTGTTCATCCTTTCTGCTCAATACATTACATTAGTCATCTCTGGCTGGTGGAATTTTAGCTTAGTCCCAACATTGTGATATCAATATTAAATATATTATAAGGCTAACAATGTCAGAAAATTCTTCACTAAGTTGGGATATAAGCATGATCATATGACATATATCTCAAATAAAAATGAAAAACATAGAAAAAACACCAAAAGCAAAATCAAAAGGTTATCCCAGAATTTGTTTTGTTATAAATACACATGTGTCTGTCTCATTTAATTAGACTTAGACAGTGATCTATTTATTTTCAAATCTGCAACAATATAACTGTGACAGCTTACTTCGGTCCAAAGCCTTCTCTATATTCCGGCTTTGAGGAGGAAGATTGAGCTGCCTTAGTATCATAAATATTGTAAATCATTGTGTCACACGCACAGTAAATATGGCATAATAATATGAAATATACCTTTATGTATAGATTTGAAGAACATCAGCTCACATCCCCGTCTGAATCTATTGTTATATTTGATTTCTTTAAGCGAGAATAATTTCAAATGTTATTCACGTCCAGAACCGGAAGCCATTTTTAGCTACAGCGAGAAAATTTCACCATGTGTCAAAACTCCGAAATGAAATTTTGAAATATCTAAATCCAGACAAGCAACGCTTCATCCTAAATATGATTAATATTCTTAAAAATATTTATAAAATTTATTAAAAATGAGTTCTAGGTGCGTGTAGGTGCGTGTAGCACATTACATACAAAATCAATGAAGTTTCGTCTAGCTGTAAGCTAGAGACTCGAGTAAGTGACAGCAATTATTAGTGATGCATAACTGGCCATTCGATTAAAGCTCGCATCAGGGAATTGACAGTGTGACAGCTTGCTCAGCATAAATCTAGAGAGTGTGCTAATCTGTCCAATCAAGATTAGAATCTATCAGGGCACAAGTTCGAGGACATCAAGATTACAAGAAAGAAAAAAGTCAGGTGTACAATTTTTTGACAGATTATTACATTACCATAATAGAATACTCATGATCAGCCTTTTCTCACAATTACTAAAATGCTTGAGTGATCTGATAAGGTTTACCTTTATTTTGAATAAATTATGATTCATTTTTCAAATTTTTCAATATTTTTGAAAAATGGGGAGGTGCCCGTTTGTTTTCATAGAGTAAAATCATCAGTAAAACATCCAGCTGCCTATCATGTGTTTGTGGGAATACAAAGCTAGTAACTACAAGAAGCTGTTGATGTTACTAGGCAACCTAAAAATAGAATACTGGAGTAGTACTTACCATTTCATTTGATCAGGAAACAAAATCCAACACCGCCATTGAAAGTGTCGAGCAATACCCGGATGTAAACATAATTTTGTGAGATCTGAGAAACGATCATGTAGCTTTGCGCAAATTGGGGATCGATCATTTATGACATCACTCTAATGCTTATATTTTATTCAAAAAACAAATATCTCAAATGTGAAATTCTACATTGACTAGGATTTTGAGCATTTTGATATTCTAGCTACTGGCAGATTGGCCATGATCATTGATGTGGAGCTAACTTATCCTGTTCCTGGAACGGGATAAGAGCTAACCTCATACCTCATGTCAATGGACTCAGGGATACATTCTGTAGTTATTAACGATGGGGTCTTACATCTTATCGTGACGGGGTTCACTGTTTCTAAACACTAATGGGGATTCTTGCTGCACATAATAGGGTAACTTTTTCTGGCCAAATTTTTCAACATTTGTTATAGCAATGGACCTAATTTGTCCCAAATTTTAGCAACGGCAATTATGCTGTGATATTTCTTTGTTGCTTGATACTATGGTATTGGTTCCATATTTAGACATTTGGTATATCATTGGTTCCATATTGGGATATTTGGTATATCATTGGTTCCATATTGGGATATTTGGTATACCATTGGTTCCATATTGGGATATTTGGCATAACATTGGTTCCATATTGGGATATTTGGTATATCATTGGTTCCATATTTGGTATGGCTTTGGAGTGTTATTTTCATGTAATTGCCAATTATTTGAATCGGTTGGTTGGTATAAGAACATATTCACCGTGTGACTAGTTAACTGACCAAAAATTGACTAAAAGCTTCTTCAAAATAAAAAATAACAAAAACCTACCATCATTTACATTATCATCTGACATATATTCTTAGTAATTTTAATTGCTGTTTTTCAACAATGCTTAACTTCTCACCAAATTTTGATTTTTAACTAAAACATGACTGTATTGAAATTATATTGTATTTAATCCATTGTAATTATGCTGTATTTAATCCATTGTTATTATAAATTGTATTTAATCCATTGTGATTGTAAGTTAAAGTTGTATTTAATCCATTGCAATTTTTTAAATCTAGTCACTCTGTAGCAACCTGTAAATTAGATTTTTGATGGACTATGTTTCATACAAACTTAATTCTTTTCTGTGCCATGTTAAAGCTTGAAAAATGAGTAGAGATCTTGCAACTTCCCATGCTACGTGAGCATTTTTCAGTGTGGTATACGTGTATGTGCATCAAAAAGAAAGCCTGTATCATAGCTCATATGACTGATTTCGTAAATTACAAATTAGTGGCCACTGCTGTATATCAACTACAAAGATGTATAACATTTACATTTTACATATTTATTCGTATATTAACATGATCCAAAATAACATAAAATTCTTTAATCATCAACATCAAGATCAACCATCAATTTTGTTTCCAATGTCTAAATCAACCATCACTATTGTTTTTATGTCACCATCAGAAGTGTTGACATATTGTCATAGTCCCCAACATGTTTGTGGATGGCATTCAGCAGTTGGTGTTTGGTGGTTGGCATTCGGCATCTGTAAAAAATGCCAGGTGGTTGTATTTTGCATGTTACTGGCTTATCATTGTCTCGATCAACCAACAATTTTGTTTTCCAAGTCTAAATCAACCATTAATATTGTTTACATAGTTTAGGTCAATAGTACATATTCTTTTCATTCCATTGTACTGTTAAAGCATCTTTATAAGGCACATCCATATTGCTCCATCATCTATTATTTTAGTGTTATATAATCACTGTCAGTCACAGCAAATTGGTGAATAGACACTATTGCCATCTATTGTTCACTTGATGATATTGTTTCATCTTCTAGTGCCTTTACTGTCAATGTTGCCTCAAGCTACTGAATTGTTCACATCATGATGGAGTATCGAAGACCATATTTTCCATTGTATAGCTCAATGTTCTTTATTAGTCTGCAACCAATTGTTCCCAGATCATCACGATGGTCTATGAAGATATCCAACCTGAAAGAAGACATTACGTTTGGGTAAGAACTCCGGACTGAGGATTCTACATGCATGGAAGTTTACCAAAACTGAATGGAGAATGAACATATGCTCTGACTCTGGCTGAGGGTCTAATAAAAGAAGACCCTGAAGGGTAAGCTAGACTGGAGACCATCCCCGAATGTACTTGCTAAATGGTGTCAATATGCAGTCATCCAGAAAATAAGAAGGAAAATGGATAAAGTGCAAGTTGATGTTTTGTAAGTTTTGATACGTCCTATTAGATCTTCAAGAAATATCCTGAACAGACACTATCCCATCTCCCTAATAATACTGCAATGGGACATTTTCATAAACACCCCTAAATATTTTACACATACCTGAAACCCATCAAGTTGTTGAAGACTGACTGGTAATTTTAAAGTGCTTTTTACTAGGAGATTCAGCAGTTCTAGACACATGTCATCATGGAAGGTTATACTATGCACTGTAAGGTCCTTACACCAAGTACTAAACAGTCTAAAATAAAACATTATACGCTGTGAAATATAGCTGTAATGGAGAGAAAATTAAAAGAAAGTGATTTCTTCCAAAGTCAACATTTTTCAGAAAATGTCTCAGACAATCTCACATGACAAATAATATTTGGATGGTTTAATAATGTTTTCAAACTTAATATAAACTTTTTTTTTATGAATACCAGATCTTGAAAAGAGTGTACTTACTGTTTATTTGAGCCTTTCATGCAGCTAATGTAAAGTATTTTAGCTATGGGTTGTGGTGTATGGGGACTCTCATTCCTAGATGCATCCAGATGAAGAACCTCTGTGGTCGTCTCTAGAAGCCACAACTGGAAAGTAAATGTCTAAACCTTTATTAAACATTTATTTGTGTATTAACCAGAACAACGGCAACGCCAAAGCGTAGCGAATCCCATCGAACAGAAATGGCTGGCATTTTTACAAACTAAATATATAGCAAATATCATAAAACACACCAGAAAGGCCACCATTTTCAAAATGGTTGCTCACTAGCCAAGTTGTCATCAGAAGAAATAATATGCTTTTAAGTAGCCACCTATAAAATTTTTGAAAAATCGCACACATGTACTTGTAAAATAACACACATAAAAATGGTGGCCATTTTTCAAAATGGCCGACTACTCCCCAAAGTTTTATTAGACAATGTGCCATGCTTAGAGTATTCACATATCAAATATGAACAAAATCGCTCCACTACTTTTCGAGTTATAGTAAACTACGTTAAAATGGCGGCCATTTTTCAAAATTTTTCAAAATGGCCACCTTCTACCAAAAGTGTCATAGGACAGTGTGCCATGCTTATAGTATTCACATACCAAATATGAACAAAATCGCTCCACTACTTTTCGAGTTATAGTAAAATATGTTAAAATGGTGGCCATTTTTCAAAATGGCCGCCTTCTACCAAAAGTGTCTTTAGACAGTGTGCAATGTTTATAGTATTCACATACCAAATATGAACAAAATCGCTCCACTACTTTTCGAGTTACAGCAAAAATCGTAAAATAACGAGTAAAGGCCGCCATTTTTCAAGATGGCTGCCATGTGCTTTTTTAATATCTACATTTGTAGCTTTATTAATGTCCTTTATAATTTTTTTACACTAAAAACATATTGCTATTACAGTTTTACATACTGTACCTAAATTACTGTAAAATCGGCACTAAAATGGCCGCCATTTTGAAATGAGCGGCCATTTTGAAAATCGGCTTTCGAGCAGAACTTCTACCCCCATAGGGTATATGTGTACAAAATATGAACAAAATCGGGCCAACGGTATTTGAGTTATTGCCTGGACGGACGGACGTACGTACGGACGGACGGACGGACGTACGTACGGACGGACGGACGTACGTACGGACGGACGGAGGCGTTCCCTATATCCCTCCGAACTTCGTTCGATGGGATAATTACTATTACAATTTATTTCATTTCTGAGCTCTAAAAAGATGTTCATGTAATAAGTAGAATTAAACGGAACAAACAATTAGAGGTTCTATATTGAACCTCTAACGGAAATGATCTGATCTGACAAACGAATCAAAAGAGTTAGAAACAGAGGTAATAGAGCCAAACTTAAATGAAGGGGCATAGCTTCCAAAGTCTACTTAGAAGAGCATCTGGTGAAGGAAGGCCAGAACACTCAATGTCAGCGCTTTTACCCCTGACGTGAACAGAAACAGAGTCTTTTTCCGTTTTGTGTGCACACATATCCTGTGTTCTGTACATTGCATTTGAGTCATCTGCTCTTATAGTCTTTAATGTACCAATTTTCTGGGAATTATTTCGACCATTATAAGAATCATTAATTCACAACATGTCACCACACCTGCCCCTAAGATAACCAAACCAAACTTGAGAACTTTTTACAATGCCATAAGAGCACTGCCTTGGAGTCGCTAAACTTTAGTAAATGTACTCCTGTATTTCAACCTACCAGTGCATAAGGTTGGCGGTCATCTGACTCCAATACAAATCTGAATGATGTATAACTGGTGCTTTGGCTCATTATATAACTGCAGTAGAAATAATCAGCATCTCTGAAAGAGACAAAATAAAATAACATTAGGCAAGAATAATAATTATATGTTTAACATTATTTTGTTTCAGTAAAAAGATGAGGCAATAAGGCTTTTTCCTTACTGATTGCCAGATTCAGTATGAAAAAATATAAGTAGCTTTTAAAAAATTAAACTAGATAACGGCAACTCCGCGGAGTAGCAAATCCCAACGAACAAAATATCAATTAGCGAATTCCAATCAATTATACTCATTACTTTGGTTAAAATTGAAAACATTAGATTTTAGAATTGCGAATTCCTGCAAAGCAGCCATTTTGAATTTTCTGAGATACAAATCTGAAAAATAATACCATAATTGTGATCTACTCCAAAATTCCTTCAATTTGAGTATAATATAGCCATACTTTGAAGGGATCGAAAAATTATTGCGAAATCATACATTAGACGGCCATTTTGAATTTTACGAGGCTCGAATCAGAAAAAAGATACAATATTTGCAATCTACTCTTAATTGCCTTTCATTTGAGTATAATAAAGCTATACTTTAGAAAGATCTAAAAATTAGCGAAAATTTCTGTTTTCCTGTCCCCCCATACACGGCCCCTGGGGGTCAGGATGAAAAAAACGGAATATATGTGAAATAGATAAATGTTGTGAATATACTACCAAAATTTCAAACAATAATATTAATTACTTTGGTTCAGAATGAAAAATTTGTGATTTTTGCGAAAAAGTCCCGTCATTTTTAAAGCGGCGGCCATCTCGAAAAAAATTTTTTTGCGTAAAACTATTCACCAATATACATCTTTCCACAAAATATGAAGAAAATCCGTCTACTAGTATTTGAGTTATCTTCCGGACAGACGGACGGACTGACTGACTGACTGACGGACTGACGGACAGACAGACAGACGGACGGACGGAGGGCTTCACTATATCCCTACCGAACTTCGTTCGTTGGGATAATGACCCTAAAAGTAGCTGCCAGAGCCTTGAAAGTCTAAAATGTCACCAACCGGCATTTGTTACAGACATGGAATGCCGAACACCAACCACAAAACACCATAGACAAAAAAGTTGAAAACTATACTATAACAATATATCACCACTTCCTGTGGTGACATAAAATGTAGATGTGAGTTGATATCATTAAAGGACAAATGAAATAGGTTTTCTCAACTTGCAGCTAGAAAAATGCGGTTTTCTTCATTGTAAGCCCAACGTAGAGTTCTTGTGATAGCCATTATAAAAGAAATATTAGATAACTGCTAACGGTCATAGATAACGAAATAAAACTAAGTGATCAATCAAATTGGCCCCCACGTGATTAGTAACGTCATATACAAAATATAGCTTTGGTTTATTGGTTCCTTAGTAATCACAACGTGACGACAACCATAGGATTGTTGTGTAAACAAATATCAAAACATTTTGGCATTATGACGTCATGATCTAATGGACCAAAACGGGCCACGTGGGGGCCAGTGAGAGATCACGTGGGGGCCAATAACGTCACAACCAATTCGAATATTGCTTATTAAGCAGCTATAACGATCGTTAGAGTGAAATAATTTTCACACTACTGATGAGAAAACATGTCCAAATACATTTATCAAACAAGGCATTAACATGACAAAATGTCACCACCTAGTTGCTCACAATATTATGAGTTCAAACTTAAGTCAGATTTGAATTTCTGAGAACTTGTAAAGTCAAATTTGAACTTCTGAAAAGATGTAGATGATTTTGAAAAAAAAAAAATTTGGTCAATTTGAAGCAAGTTGAAAACAGACCTTTTTGACCTTTTTTGACCTTGAGAAGGTCATTAAAGGTCAAATGTCAAATCTAAAGTCAGATTTGAATTTCTGAGAACATGTAGATGATTTTGAAAAAAAAAATTAGTCAATTTGAAGCAAGTTGAAAAAAGACCTTTTTGACCTTTTTTGACCTTGAGAAGGTCATTGAAGGTCAAATGTCAAATCTTAAGTCATATTTGAATTTCTGAGAACATGTAGATGATTTTGAAAAAAAATTTAGTCAATTTGAAGCAAGATGAAAAAATACCTTTTTGACCTTTTTTGACATTGAGAAGGTCATTGAAGGTTGAAAACAGACCTTTTTGACCTTGAGAAGGTCATTAAAGGTCAAATGTCAAATCTAAAGTCAGATTTGAATTTCTGAGAACATGTAGATGATTTTGAAAAAAAAAATTAGTCAATTCGAAGCAAGTTGAAAAAAGACCTTTATGACCTTTTTTGACCTTGAGAAGGTCATTGAAGGTCAAATGTCAAATCTAAAGTCATATTTGAATTTCTGAGAACATGTAGATGATTTTGAAAAATTTTTTAGTCAATTTGAAGCAAGATGAAAAAATACCTTTTTGACCTTTTTTGACATTGAGAAGGTCATTGAAGGTCAAATGTCAAATCTAAAGTCAGATTTGAATTTCTGAGAACATGTAGATGATTTTGAAAAAAAAATTAGTCAATTTGAAGCAAGTTGAAAAAAGACCTTTTTGACCTTTTTTGACTTTGAGAAGGTCATTGAAGGTCAAATGTCAAATCTTAAGTCAAATCTAAAGTCAGATTTGAATTTCTGAGAACACGTAGATGATTTTGAAAATTTTTTTTAGTCAATTTGAAGCACGTTGAAAACAGACCTTTTTGACCTTTTTTGACCTTGAGAAGGTCATTGAAGGTCAAATCTTAAGTCAAATCTTAAGTCAGATTTGAATTTCTGAGAACACGTCGATGATTTTGAAAAAAAAATTTAGTCAATTTGAAGCAAGTTGAAAACAGACCTTTTTGACCTTTTTTGACATTGAGAAGGTCATTGAAGGTCAAATGTCAAATCTAACGTCAGATTTGAATTTCTGAGAACATGTAGATGATTTTGAAAAAAAAATTTAGTCAATTTGAAGCAAGTTGAAAAAAGACCTTTTTGACCTTTTTTGACTTTGAGAAGGTCATTGAAGGTCAAATGTCAAATCTTAAGTCAAATCTAAAGTCAGATTTGAATTTCTGAGAACACGTAGATGATTTTGAAAAAAAATTTTAGTCAATTTGAAGCAAGTTGAAAACAGACCTTTTTGACCTTTTTTGACCTTGAGAAGGTCATTGAAGGTCAAATCCTAAGTCAAATCTTAAGTCAGATTTGAATTTCTGAGAACACGTAGATGATTTTGAAAAAAAAATTTAGTCAATTTGAAGCAAGTTGAAAACAGACCTTTTTGACCTTTTTTGACCTTGAGAAGGTCATTGAAGGTCAAATGTCAAATCTAAAGTCAGATTTGAAGGTCAAATCTCAAATCTTAAGTCAGATTTGAATTTCTGAGAACATGTAGATGATTTTGAAAAAAAAATTAGTCAATGTGAAGCAAGTTGAAAAAAGACCTTTTTGACCTTGAGAAGGTCATTGAAGGTCAAATGTCAAATCTAAAGTCAGATTTGAACTTCTGAGAACATGTAGATGATTTAGAAAAAAATTGAAGTCAGTCTAAACAGTATTTGTTAAGTTATAGGAAGTTGTAAGAAATTGTTACAGACGCCGGACGCCAACCGCCGGACGCCGGACGCCAACCACCAACCGCCGGACGCCGTCGCAAAAAAAACGGAGACCATAACAATATGTCACCACTTTTGGTGGTGACATAAAAATCATATTGATTCCTTCAGGTTAAAATTACCATTTCATATCTACTTTAAGGATCTTATCAAAATTTTCACCAATCTTTAAATAGTAGGAATCTTTTATAATTACTACGCCCAATACACATGACACCTAACAATTTAATAACATCAAAATATTATGCATTCTGGAAATAAATACCTTTCACATGAGTCATTTGGATTTCTTGAGTTTGTGATGGAATGGTTGATCTTTAACTTGTGATTATACAACTTGACTACCATTTTTGCATCTTTGTCTTCAGTTTTCCCTAAAAAGTATACATAATACAAATCAAACTTCATTCCATATACATGGATACAATTTAGAGACATTAACACTTGGAATAATAAATCATAATTTGATCTCCTCCAGTTTTTTCTCTTGAACCAGATGAAAGAGGATGACCACGCAAGACTAAAGTACGGAAGTAAAAAAGTAAACCAACCTGGACTTGTTACTGCTTTTCCGATGAGAAACCTACATCTTCGACATCTGACTTGGTTGCTATGGTTACCAATTGTCTCTATGCCATGCTTTAAACTCTCTTCATTAACCATGAAAAAATTATCCCCGACAAAACAGTCACTTTCCTTTGGAAGTAATGATGTGTTTTTCCCTACACCATTTTGTTTTCCGTTGCCATGGTTATGACAGAACCAGCTGTCAGTATTATCTTGCCAATTGTCCGAGGGAAGTGAAAGAACCCTTTTGAATTTCCTGAAAAAATAAATTGCAAACAGTTTTCGAGATTTTGATTCCCATATAAAAAGATTTTGCAAACCACATGTTATTTGCTGTTCAAATAATCAAAATACAATGTACCTGTAAATTCAAAATGTTTTAAAAACAGAAGTGTGTTTACAAATACATAACAACTGTTTTCAATTAACCAAACTAAAAAATGGTGTGCTTTGACTAAAATTTAAATTTTCAAATGTTTCGCTTTGTGCTTTAATTTTTGCACAAAGCCCCTACTTGGATTTGGGGGAGAGTTTTGTTATATACACAAGAATATATAACCAGATTTGTATACATTTCAAAGGTCTGAAAAAATATGGTATTCCCTAGACTGTTTTAGAATTAAGGAACTCTTACGCATTATGCAATTTAATGGAAAATGAATCATGCTCTTTCGCAGAAGTTTTAAAATGTTGTCCAGTTGTTAGTTGTTTGGGGAATTTACCTTTTAGAATCACTAACCTCTTTGTTTTAATAATATCCTCTCCACACATTTTACAGATGCATGATTGGAAATTATCAAATTTACGAAGCAGTCCATCGCTTGATATACTTGTAGGGTTTGCAATTTCTGCTTTGATTGTTTCTGCATCCCGTTGTCTAATCTTCATCCTAAGATGTAATTCACAGCTCTTGTTGATATGAAGACCATGACATGTTGTAGGAATTAGTTCCATTGTGTCAATGTAAAACACCAATGAAGGAAGTTGAATATTGTCATGTTGAATCTTTATTGAATTTGTGTTGATGTGTATCCTCCTTTCTGCATTGCTGGAACAAAATTTTGTATTTTAAACATTCGTAACATTACTGCAGTCCATTTCAATGTTTTTTCTCATCAATAAAACCTAAAAAGTAAGGAATCAAAATACCAAAGTTGTGTAATATATGGAAAAATATTCGTAATGTACACAACTAACATTTGTATATCTTGGATTGCTTGTGGTTTGGCTAATAAAATGTCTAGCCTCTTATATTTTGATGCTTCTCTGTTCTCTGCCATGCATCCTCCGAACACAGGCCTCCAGAACTCGTACCTCCTTAGTGAATGATGTCTGGAACCCTACGTATGGAGGATGTCTGCCATGTTATTTTCGGAAAAATTAACATGGCTGAAACTCCTTAAATTACAAAAGGCTGCAGGTTTATTGCACATAAAACTAATTAATCTGAACAAGTTGATTCCCTGGGAAAAATGTAGAATGTACATTTGAAACAAGTGATTTGATCGGTCACTTGTGACCACCATCAGTGACAACTCCTTTATTGACCAATCACATCACTCATTGCAAATTTCAATTTGCTAGATAGATGCAGATATCTTTGTTTTATATACAGTAATGAGTATTATAATCAACGATATAGCCTAAGTTGGATTAAACTAAATAATTCTGAAATTTCAAGGAAGAATGTGCAAAATTGATGGACTTGATCAACTTTTTATTTCATAATGTTTTTTGGACACCCTGTACACCCTGTACCCGAGACCCTATGTATTTCCCAAAACCTTAAGTACACGATGACAAAGTGTCATATATTTTATCACCTAGTACGTAAATCTTTATTGAGATGAACTTCTGTCCTGACATGCCTGATTGGTACAAATTGACAAACCAAAATGCCTGATTCAAAATTTTCTAATAACGCTTCAAATAATATTACGTTAAGGCGAAGCTAAATTAAATCAAAAGTACAAAAAATGGCTGCCATATTTTTTTGATAAAGACATGTGGTTTTAAAATCGGTTTACCTTGTATATATATTATTTATCTTGACTAAAGAAACATGTCAAAGTTAACATCACACATAAATGTATTTTTCATAACTATGAATTGTAGGTGTATGAGCCCCTAAAGTTAACATGAAAACTGTGAAGTGAGGTTATTTTTGAAAACTCCAAGGAGTAGGGGTGCTTCGGTGTCACAAAATTTCCACAAATTATCTTACCTTACCAAGGAACATCGAAGGAGCATGAAAATGTGTACTTCTTGCATTGCTAGAGTATAATATCATAGCTTGATATTTCACATAAATATACAGAAAGATGACAGGAATACGAGGGGTGAACCAAAAGTCTTGGACGCCCTGCTCTAATTTTGTTGGTTTTTGATAAAATTACTTTAAACTTTCCAATAATAAAGACCAAGAACCTAATTACTTTGTGTATTCATTTCATGGTGAAATGATATATTTTATGAAGTTTTCTCGATAGTTATTAATATAGTGACCCTGCCACCCGGAACGGTATACGCACATGGCAACTTTCAGCCTTAAATGTTGCCGCTATTTGACTTGTTTTGCAAGTCTTGACCACTATCTTTCCTTTAATTTTGAATGTTAAACCATGTTAGTTTACTTCCTTTGTTACTAGGCAACCAATTAATTGTGTTTTAATCATAATGTCACATATGACAATGGCTGTATATGCCAAGTTCTAAGAAAATGACATCAGACAATCAGCCCTCATTCTGGTATCATTTTTGCTCCAAGATGGTTGCTATAATGCAGAACATGAAAGAAATCAAAGTGGAACAAAGAATACTACTATATATTTTCACTATTATTGACCTTGAGCAGCTACAATATGCACAATACAGTCTAGATATGGCTCCGTGTGATTTTCTTCCTTTTCTCCAAGGTGAAAGGAGGGTTGAAAGAAAATGTTTTTTACTCATTGGATGAGGTTTAGAGTGGCACTCCAGCAGCATTTGTATCACATAAGCAATGGCGGTTTCATAAGTGTCTTTCATTCATTGGTAAAGTGGTATGAAAATGTGTTCAAATTCGTGGAAAATATGTCGAAAAGTAGGTCTTAATATGTAAAGATGTTGATGGCAGATGACACTCAGACTGAAAATCGGACATTCTCTCATATCACGACTGGTGTTAGGTTGTGCATCTGCATCTAAAGTATTTGCCATATTATAATAGCTGTGACGTGATTTGCTATATTTAAATACCGTTCCGGGTGGCAGGGACCTTGTATGAAAAATTATTTAAAAAAGTACCTAAAATATACTATTCTATTTTGAAACTTATAGACAAAGTTGTTTAGATGTTGATCTTTATTATCTGAAAGTTTCATGCATTTATATTAGAAAATAGCAAAGTTAGAGCGGGGCGTCCAAGACTTTTGGATCACCCCTCGTATACACATATTTTGGACCAAATGCGTGACATAAACGGCAATCACGTGCAAAGACCGAGTGGAATGCATTCGCTTTTTTTCGCCGTTCGGTATTTTACCGTATCGGCATTTCACAAAAAACGATTTTTAAAAATATCAACAAAATGTTTGATTTGCGTGATATTTGATCATACACGCTAAATTGATGAGTGATTTCTATTTTTCCAGCAAATGCGTGACAATCACGCCTAATGCGTGAGGGTTGACAGGGCTGCTCAGTGGCGTAGCCAGGATTTGGTGACCGGGGGTTCTATTTTTATGTTATTCACAAATCCCCCACCCCTTCATTAGGGTTCCTCAAATAATGCAATTTGTACAATTACACTCCCTCCAAAAGTTTGGCAATCCTAACTAACCCATTGGATTATGTATTAAAGTATCTTTAGGTTTGAATTCTTATATGCATAATTTGTAAAGAAAAATTATTTTGGGAGGGGAAATATAATTCATTTTAGTACCTTCATTAAGTTAAGTAGACAATTGAATTTGAATTTTATTGAAAAAAAATGATGTCTTTATTTGCTGAAAGTAATAGGCTTTATCAAGAAACCTCTCCCATTGAAATAACACAGGACGTAAAAATGATTTTCAAAAATGACCTTTCAGCTTTGTAACTTTAATGTTCACAAAGTATAATAAACAGGCAACGTGCAAAAAAGTCAAACAACTTATAATTAATTATCTGCATCAAAATATATTTCGGTGAATCTTTTACTGAATTCATATCCTGAATTCTGATTTGCCCCTAATCCACCATTATTTCGTCTGATTTCTGGAAGACCTTGGAGCATGATTTGTTTCCAAGGAATATCAACTATTTCGCACAATTTATTCTTTAACTTAAGCTTCTTCATCTAGGACAAAATAAATCACCCCATGCAATGGCTTATCATTGTATTTCAAGAATTTTGTTGGAAGCCAGTTCGGATCAAATGCAAGGTTATTGAAATTGACGCAAACACCCATATACTCCGAAAGATCGTTCTTCTATGATAACTTTTCACAACGTTTACACGAAGGCTTTTTAAACTATCAGAGATAGTCGTATTACTGATATCTTTTTTTCAAATAAGTGGGTCTCGGTTATGCTTTGTTTTAAAAAGTTAAAAATATTTCTTTGGACGTCCCCGGAGCTCAGTGGTAAGTCCCCCGGAGGAGCAGATCAACCGCAATTGATAAAAAAAACGTTTTAGTGGATATAAATCATATATAAATACAAGCGACTGTTATTTTGTTAAGTTCAGACGGCTTGATAACAAATTAGGCCTTCATTATTTAAAGATTGATACCATGTAAGATTTTTCAATGTTTTTTTATTATATAATTTATTCGCTAAACATATCATGACATTAACATGAAAATGGAGAGCAAGTAAACTGGAACGATAACAATTTGAATTCTATACAATCTCTTAGATGAGTGAAGTGTATCTGAAAAAACAAAATCATTTTTTGCAATGATTGATCTTCTTTTGAAAAGTGATGGGTAAATAAATACAGAACAAAAGAAAGAATGAATAAATTTGAACAAATGCCTGTGTTTATAAATGATATATATGACGTGCACGGACCTGGGGACAATTCGGGAAATGCGGGCTTATCTCAGCTTTGAACGTTAATCTCTGCCTTATTTAAAAAGCCAACTATGTGTTTTACATATCATTTTGAAGTATTTTTTAATCACATTTCAATGAAATTATTTTTCCTTCAAAATTTTGATGGGATCCAACACATTTTTAAAGTTAAATATACTCCGACATCGTCAAATACGCTGTAAGACGTAACACTTTACGCTTACGGGGCTCATTGAAATTGAGATAACTTTTGAAATAATGATCAAAATACCACTTAAATTTCACAATTTATTCAATGGAACATTTGCATTTATGACGTCACAATTGCTTAACGGCTACATTTCAAATTATCGTAAATGAACGCTTTTAAAATTTTCAAAATTGTGTAAGGTTTTGAAGGCGAATGGGACGAGCAATACGTTTACCTTCATTTAACCTTCTAATTTAGGTCTGATTTGAAAGAAAATTTAACTGCACAATATTGTCATGGCGAAATTTACAAAACAATAACCGGTTTGTTTATTTTGCAAATAATATCAAAATAATATCAAACATTTTAGAAATATTGTCCTCGAGATCTTGCTACCCTGTAAATTGACCGGGGGTTCGTTCGAACCCACCGAACCCCCGCTGGCTACGGCTATGCTGCTATTGAGGGTTGCTGCAAAATTCCGAACATGCACCTTGACCTAAAATATCACAACGATATATTATATTCGAAAACTAACAGGTTACAATTTGGCAAACGAGTGTGGTACGCAAGAGACGTACACCCCCAATCCGCAACATCATCTTGCAGCCGGGCTTGCAGCGTAGTACAGCACTGTTTTAGAAAACAGCGATGTGCAGTACTGTTTTTACAGCGCTGTTTGATGCAGTTTGAGATTGGCGATGTAATATGTCTGTCATCAATAAATCTCTGGGGGGTTTTCCTCTTGCTGTTAAGGTGCTATGGAACTTAACAGGAAATGACAAAACAGGAAGTGACAATTTTTTTTGCATTTTTAGATATTTTTTGAATAAAGATAACAGAGTTCTGGTTTGACCTCCAGTCAATTTAACTATTTCCACATATCATTTACATGACCAGGATCACAATGTGCATGGTCAGAATGACCCTAAACATGATAAAATAACCTTTTTAGCCCTTTGAAAGTGTGACTGAAAAAAAGCTAAAAGTAGGAGCGTAGGGAAGGTCACTGAACAGAATCTTTTGAATTTTTCAGAAAATGTGCCCAATATATTGCTCTAAATGATACAATCTTTGAAAATTTGATATCATTCATAGAAAAAGAAAAAAAAATGAAAAAACTGATTTGAAAAGCGATCTATTTTCCTTTTTATGACCGACATTTTTGTTTAAGACAATTTTCTAAAATTTCAAAGATTGTACTAGTTAGAGCATTATATTGGGCACATTTTCTGAAAAATTCAAAAGATTCTGTTCAGGGACTATCCCTACGCTCCTACTTTTAGCTTTTTTTCAGTCACACTTTCAAAGGGCTAAAAAGGTTATTTCATCATGTTTAGGGTCATTCTGACCATGCACATTGTGATCCTGGTCATGTAAATGATATGTGGAAATAGTTAAATTGACTGGAGGTCAAACCAGAACTCTGTTATCTTTATTCAAAAAATATCTAAAAATGCAAAAAAAATTGTCACTTCCTGTTTTGTCATTTCCTGTTAACTTCCATAGCACCTTAATACAGGTTCCTGTGATCAACGAACTTGTTCAAAAACTTGGCAAAAAATTCTACATTCTGTCCTCAAAGCAGATAAACCTGTATTTGACGCACCGATTACTTACCTTTTGACAAATATGAATTGCGTAACGCATATTCGAGTTTTTATTTCAACGTATATCTTTTCATTGAGCATATTGTTGTAAATAACTGGGCATTTTGTTTCTTTTACTAAATCCGCCATGTTTGGAATTTCCGGGTGATTCCCAAAACCTCGTTCTGGGTTACGACGTCACCCTTATCAGAACGCGGGAAATACAAGTTTTAGTTCTTCGTTGCGATTTTATTTTATTTTCTTAGAAATGGTAATAAAAAACGCTGAATTCGTCACAATGCAGTCAATAAAAGATCCCGATGGGAGTTCAGAAGGTATGCTAAGTTACATCCTATTGCTTATCAGTCAGCCAGCTTTCATCAGAGAAAATTCTTATTTCAGGAACCTCGGCTCGGGGCTGGATCGAATTCGACCTCTATCCAATCCAAATATTAGACTATCTGCTCCTGACAAACACGCAAATATATCCATAGCCTAAGTATAGTGATGGGTTGTGGGATAAATCCTGGAAACTATCCTAAAATTGGTCAATAGTCTTCGAGGATTGGCAGTGGGAAATAAGAGCACCACGGGGAGGGGGGGGGGGGGGTGGTAACCAAACTCGTCTGGCCCAGTTATCTACTCCCCATGCTCCGGACATCTTAGAGTAGATAACTGGGCCAGAAAGGTTTGGTTAGGGGGTTGCACTTAGATGGGTTTACTGAGGCCAGTAACCAAACCCATCTGGCCCAGTTATCCCATTCTCCCGACGTCTTAGAGTAGATAACTGGGCCAGACAGGTTTGGTTAGGGGGGGGGGGTTGCACTAAGGGTTTACTGAGTCTCGCTTGGAGGAAAAACCGGGAGGTAACCTAACATGGTTATATATATTTTACAAGTGGATCCAAGAGACCAAGTGGGCAAGTCCATTATTTTGCAGGGGTGGCAGGATATACACATATCAATTCCCACATACTTACATTGCCTTATTAAAGAAACCCTTCTAAAAGTTTAGTAGTCAATAAATATCAGATCTGTAAATTCCGAAATAAGAAGCGAATTCAATAAAAACCAGATTAGAATGCACAAATACCAGATCACCGATTTTTTCAATGAGGGACCTGTTAAATGTAGTCCATTTTCTCCACTTGGTCACTCTTAGATTGAGCCAAGTATTGGATGATTGGAGGCAGTTTTGATCAATTTTGCAAAGGGTTAATTTTATTCTCATCCATCTCAACAAATCAGGAATATACCAGAATTCATACAGGCATAATTCTCTATAAATGTAAACCTGTATCATTGATTGGACAAGGGTTCATCTATAATCCTGGGAAATGACCTCTTCTGGACGTAAAGCGTGGAAACATCTGATATGACCAGTTCCCATGGCAGTGTGTCACCTGTCAGTCTCTGGAATGATGCACACTTTCCTCCAAAAGATTGGAAACAATGTAGTACAGTAAAACCTGTATATCTGATCACTTGGCTTATCCGAACACCTCCCGATTTGAACAATTTTTGGTCCCGTTTTTCCTCCCATTGACTCAAATGTTAAAAAACCTTGAAATGTGAACACCTCCCAATTTGAGCAGTGAAGTCACTTTTCATAAAATATCACATGTCCCATACAAAATTACTCAAATATTTGAAAAAACCTTGAATGATCTCACTCATGGTGGGGCTTTCTAGGATGACTTCCTCATTTGAATCAGATTTTCATGTCACTGGAGTGTAATGCCATAAAGCTATGTAGTCAAAAGAACTATAAATATTTATTGAGAATTTGTTCTTATTCAAAATCCAAAATCTTGCAAATGCAAAGCCCCAAAATGTGAACACCTCCTAATCTAATCCGAACGCTTTTAGCTGGTCTCTCGGATTAGACAGCTTTTACTGTAGGCACAATCCCCTCTAAAAATTACTGAAATCACTGGCTGTGAATTGGTGTTCACTATACACAGGTGTTCAATAGAGTTGACGCATGTGTTCACAGGGCACGCACATATCTTCACTAAAGAGGTGTTCATTATGACAGTTTTACTGTACTGAAATCAATCGCTGGGCATTCACATATACAAAATAGAAATGTGTGTATCATACCACCCCTGCAAAATAATTGACTCGCCCATTTGGTCTCTTGGATCCACTTGCAAAATATATATAACCGACTAACGTCACTTTTTTGGTGATTTTGAAGTCATGTCTGCCCTTCGCAGGTCAACTCCTGTTGGCGCGTAATTTGACACCATCTTCTAATTTGCCTCACTCCCAGGGGGTTCATTGTAAGCCTTGACAAGGATCCTCCACGCACATCGAACGTGTGATGTGGAACCTTTTTTGACATTTGGTATATGGCAATATGAGCCACATTTTAGGATCTCATACCAGAAAATATTTGAGATGCGACAATGTTCGAATTTTCAATTTTCTGGTATAAGAATGGTCTTGAAAAATATGTGACCTCACACTTGTGGTGGCATCAAGGTTTAGTAGTTACACATATCTTTAATTTGAGGTTGTTTTGATGATGAATCATTCTCAAAGATCTACCTTCCAAGGCCTTCTTCAGTTTGAATATTAGTTTTTTCCCTTTGGCGGACTCGCTTTGCTCGCAGTGATGCAAACCCAAAAATTCGCACCACCCACTTGACATTTGCTGGCTACTCCCCTGACCCTGCCTAGCAATTTGATTGCGCTGTCGCCTATGCCTTTGCAGTTCAGATTCAGAAATGAAAGAAAGTGTGCTAAATTCAATGCCCTATGTGAGAAACCAACCCAGGACCCCAAGATAAACAGGTTGCTGTTCTACTACTACTGAGCTTTCTGTGCCATAGTAGTGCTATCCAGGGGTTCGTTTTACAAGTGTGCTAACTGCAACCAAGCTCCCAGTAACTCTGTCTCTCTAGTTACAATAGGAGTCTGGTTGCAGTTAACATGGACCCATTCGGTTTTGGTATGATCGTAACTTACCATTCCAAGAAAACCATTGTCTACTTTTTGACAACGGTGACTTGTAACCAAATCGTAAGTTAGTTCCAGAAACGGAACCCAGGGTATTTACTGACTAAACGATCATTCAACTTTTCGCTAAACAACGATAAGCTAATGAAATTATAATCTCAGGCTCAGATTGGACCAAACAGCATCTTCAAAGAAGATTTGACATTAATGTTTACATACATATTGTTTTATTTTGCAGCCTTTCCCTCAAATGAAGATAATATGCCAAAAAAGAATGAGAGTGAAATCAGTAGTTCTCAGGTGAATGCCTCTCTAAACAAACCAAATATTAAACAATCTGCGGGACCAACCTTGATGGTAAGCATCTCATACTTGAAAAAGTTCTAAAAAGCAAGCCAACTGGTGTCCTGTTTAAGAACCCCTATTCTTACTATTGAAAATGGATTCTAGCATGCAACACTCTCCCACATGAATCTACTTATTGAGACTCGATCAACTTGAGTTCTGAGAAAATGATGATTTCAGCAAAGGTGCATTGGCATGGGACCCAGCTGACTCAATTGCATCCCAATGTTAATATTGATTGAATGTAGGTTCATGTGGGAAAGTATTGCTAGAATCCATTTTAAATGTTACAAATATGGGTTCTTAAGCAGGACATTAAAGCTTAAGTAAGGCCTTTTTGAAATTTTTGGTAATGATTAACAAATAGAATTGGTATTTATTTTACAGGCATATTCTTTATTACTGTCTCCTATGAGGTATAGCAATTAAAAATATAACCAAATTTAGCAATATAGCGATACTCCTCCCAATAAATCTTCTTCTTTCCATTCCAGGTACCTGGTTCAAGTGGAAGTAATATTAATTCTGAATCTACCAAAAGTGTTGCACTTATAAGAGAGGGCAGCAAAATGATACTAGACAAAACGCAAACCTTTTTTCATGCCTCCAAAAAAAGCAAGTTCTGTAAGAAGGTTTATCGTAGTAATGACGCTATTGAAGAGGAGCAACAAAGACAAATTGATCTTGCAAAGTTTGTCATACATCCATTCAGTATGTTCAGGTATGTAACTGAACCAGTAATACAGGGTGACCCAAAAAATGTTACCCTCTAATTTTGGATTATCGTCTCAGATCTTAAGGCGAAGCTAAATTAAATCAAAAGTACAAAAAATGACTGCCATATTTTTTTGATAAAGACACAACATGTTTTTAAAATATGTTTACCTTGTATATGAATTGTATATCTTGACTGAAGAAACATGTCAAAGTTAACATCACAATCATATAACATATTTTTCATTACTATGAATTGGAGGTGCATGGATCCCCAAAGCTAGCATGAAGACAATGAAGTGAGGTTAATTTTTGAATGTTTCAAGGAGTAGCCTTGCAACAGTCACACATTTGCAAGAATCCAAAATTTCCACAAATCATCTTACTTTTCCCAGGAACAACGAAGGAGCATGAAAATGTGCACTTCTTGCATTGTTAGAGTATAATAAAGCTCAAACCATTGTGAATTCCAAATAATTCATGTCCACCATTTTAAATGTGATGTTTGCTTTTATGTGTCTCTTTAGTCAGGAAATAAGGGAAAACATTATACAAAATCTCCTGACTTTATCAAAAAAATATGGCTGCCATGTCACCTTAAATATGACGTAATCTTTGTGCATTTTTTCCGTTCCAATTGAGAAAACAGTGGTGTAGTTATTTTGCATCTATGATTTTGAGATTTTCTGTCTAGGTATGCTCGAAAGTGAAATCGTTCAAGTATGTTAAAAAATACAATTTTCTGAAATTGTTATTTCTGTCTCAGTCATTATTTGTATTATGAGTAATAAAATCCATCTTAAGTGTTTGAAAAAATACCCAACTTCAAAGCCAGAATATTAGAATCCTGAGAATTCCTTTGAATGTAGCAGTAAAAAGCTTATTTTTCCTCAATCAAATGGTACCAAGATCATTATGTAATTGTCATTGATGACTGAGCAACCATGACCATTATGAAAGGTGGTAAAGATCAGCACTGTTCCAAGTTAGCAATTTGCATTCAAGTGGGATTGACATATATAGTGAATGGTTTTCTGTGTTCAAACATGGTTCAAAGCATTAATAATGTTCAAATTCAAACTTATTCCATGTTCTTCACACTTCTTGCACAATTTTCCATACAGTCCTTTTTGTTGGTAAAACCCTGGAAATTGAATCCCAAGAGCCTCTTGAACAGTCATGAAACTTCTTCATGACGATATCCAGCTCTGAAGTCAATTGTATCCCCCATTTTAGTCAATACACCCTTGCTGAAATCTTCAATTTCTCAGAGTCTCAAGAAGTAGATTCATGTGGGATAATATTGTTAGAATCCATTTTAGTAAGAATACCAAGAATAAGGGTTCTTAAACAGGGGTCTATTTTTGAAAATTAGTAAAAGTACTAATCAGTAATTTTTATACTTAGTTTCAAAAAGTTACTGAAGTTACGAAATCGCAAATTGTATTTCTCGAAAGTTTGTATCTTTTTAGTAGTTTACAAATGGTAAACTATATGATTCCAGTTCCCATGTTTCATTGTAAGGTGTGACCTTTATTGCAATTCCAACGAAACTATATTAATGCGAGAACATTGAAGCATGTGATCGAAAGTAGTCCAATATGTTATCAATGGTAAAGCATTGATAATGTATTTAAATTCAAATGGATATTGGATCGAAGTGAATTTCTTGTATACTTGAACTTTCTGTGATGTATGATCACTGTAAAATCAAAAGTAAATAAGTCAAGGAAAACTTATGAAAGACTTACAAGAGGTGTACATAAAGTAACAATAAAAATAATTTTAAATTTTTAGAAATGCAAGTTTAAAGGAAATTCTACAAACAACAATGGATTTACTAATTCACAACTTTACAAACTTTCGAGAAATAAACCCTGGTACATAAAGTTTGTTTTTTAGAACTATTCCTATTTTGTGTCGCCCTGTACATGTATTTGTTCAAGAGACTAGATGGGATAGAATATGTATTAATACAGTTATTATATGTGACTAAATACTAAATAATAGACACAAAATTATACAGAGTTGATGTGTTTTAGTCAATTGCTTCCAAGTTTTAAGTAAGTAGTAGAGAAATAGAGGGATCTGGTTCATAAGGAATACTTACTTTCATGAATACAAATTAAAAAGCTATTTTTGCTTGACTAAAGGTTGGCCCTAGTTAAGGTGGGGCCATGTCAAGATGGGGCCTGGTTAAGGGGAGGGGACTTGCTTAAAGTGGGGGTAGGTTACTGAGGTGGGGCTTGTTTAAAGTGGACCCTGGTTAAGATGGGGCCTACTTAAGGCGGGCCTGGTTAAGGTGGGGCCTGGTTACTTTGCCAAAAATTCATACTAGATTTTACAAGATACATTTTCATCCCCTGTAATATCTAAATACACACAGATGTTTTCATTATATTTATGTGAATTTGCATTTTTATGTTTGCAGATGGTACTGGGACATGTTGATGGTGTCTGTTTTGATTGTAACATTGATCATGCTGCCCTATGTCATAGCATTCGATCTTGCTCAGCTTACTACAACTTGGATGGTCATCAATTTGGTGTTTGATGCATTGTTCCTGATAGACATCTGTCTGAACTTTCGCACAGGCATTGTTAACCAAAGGACTGAAGAGGTAAAATTCTTACACAATTTGGTAGTGACATATTGTTATACTCATACTTTTTTATGGTAGTTGGTGCTTGGCGGTTGGAGATCGATGTTTGTAACAAATGGCAGGTGGTCACATTTTGCATGTTAACTCCTTGTTTTATAGTAGTGATGAAAAATGGCACAAATCTCAGTTGCTCTGTATTTGTTGAATCTTTTTTGTTTCAAGGGTACTCATGAACATATTATTTTTGTTTAGGTAATATTGGAACCTAAGAAGATAGCCTGGTCTTATTGCAAGACATGGTTCTTGGTAGACTTAGTTTCAAGTTTACCATTTGATGAAATATATGTATGGACAACTGGGGAGGAGCAAGCTTCTTATGCAGCACTGCACCTTCTGAAAGCACTCAGGTAAGAACCAAATTATACCAAAACCACATTGTCCCGAAAAAGCATGTACAGTGTTACCAAACTTATCTGTTATGGATGTCAAAGACTATATCCTATGATATTTTGTTGTACAAGTAACTCTATAAGTTTAGGCCCAGCTCATGCTTTTTATTATGTTTATGTTTATTTCCTTTTAGATACACACAAATATACAATACATGAGTGGGTGACACTTTATATCCAGTTATATATGTAGAAAAATACATTCCCTGTATTTTTATAAACAGTTTATGGAAAAAATATATTAAAGCATAGCATATTCATACTGAAAAGGCTGAAAACCTGTCTTAAAGTCCATATGAAATATGAACTAGGATGTATTATTGTTTTTTGTAACTATCAAGTGGTTGTCATGATAACTGCACTCTTTAATTCAAAAGTCAGCTGGGGAAATTCATAACAAATATGGTAATCTAATCATGGTATTGATTATGATAATTTATAAACAAACATGTTTTGTACTTTACACCAAAAGGAATTTTAGGAGGAACAAACCATCCTATGTATTTGAGCTCAAACTGTTGAAATGATGGGACTCAATACTGTAGTGTCTGTTAACCTTTATTTTTCAAAAAACCCTAAAGATTTATTTAAATCCCATTTTAGGAATAATTGCAAAGTGATTCCTGCATCCCATGCAAAAAGTTTATAAAAAAGAATGTATTTTCAAAAAGGTTACATCAAAACAAAAATATGAATGCTTTTAGGCCACTGGAGCATTTGCAAGATAATTTTTTAAAGAATAACAAACTTATTTGACTCAATCATTTTATAAATTAATTTAACAATTCAAAGTGAAAAACAAGTAGTCTACATATCTGCATCTTTAAGGTGGACATTCATTGAATCATGTATTGATGTTGAATAATGATTAATTTTTTAAAATGTAAAATCTGATAACTATAGTTCCATTTAACATGTTAAAATAACATTCAACATGTTGTGTTCCTTCCTCGGAATTTCTGAGACTGATTATGGCAAAAAACAAAAAACAATGTTGTTGTCTATGACATATACACCTTCAAATTACTGGTACAGTAACTTGAAACAAAAAATAGGAAGTTGAATTCTTAGAATCCTGTCGGTCTTCGCTTTAAGTACCCATGACCTTATACAAGTGATAATCCAAACAGATAGAGCTCTATATATAAACAACCTAGATAGGATATCACAACATTCAGTCCAGGTTCAGAGAATGACAATGTCACTTGGAATTTACCTCACGGCTGCAATTGCCATCCAGAGTGTTTTTATACATGGATCGGCAGCGGATTTCCCTGCAAGTTACATTGAGGATTTTATCCCAGAGGACTTTGTGGATGAATATATGGAAATAGGTGGGAGGAATAAACGCTCCGTAGTTTTCTCAGGGGTGGAACCAGAGGGGTTAGAGGTACTGAACCGACTGAATAATATCATGAACAATGCTAGTATCAGTGCTGAAAGTAAACAAAAATTGGAAGCGGCACTTGGCAATATTGGCAAGGGGGGATCAAGCAGTGGAAGGAGTGGAAGCCGTGTGAAAGCTGGATTCCATAAAAGGTAACTTTCAACAGAATTGATTAAAAATGGGCTTACAGGAGAGATTGAGGGGTCTGTTCAAAATAGTTTACTGTTATGTTTAAGAGTTATTGTGAAAACATTTATTTCTTGTATTCTTGGTGTTAATCAACAAATCAGTAGTGAAGGCTAAAACAAAATAAATTACTTTTGACAAATGAGCCTCGCCAAAGGAGAACCAGTCTTATCACAAAAATTTAATTGTGCTAAGGAGCCAAAAATGTGCCCCAAGATTAAGAGGAAAATGTGCTTCAAATCAGTCTTTTTGGTCTATATCTGCAAGGAAAAATTGTTAAGACACAAGCCATGGCTCATTTGAAAGGTCTCTTCGTGCTTTTTAAGAAAAAAAATCAAAACATTGAAAAAATCTGTGATAAGACTCCTTTTAGTGTGGCCTGGTTCAAATGTTGATTTATTGACGAGACTCCTCCACAGAATTCCCTATTCTGTAGAAATTGTTTTAGGGGGGGGGGGGGGGTTCTGAAAAACCCTTCATCCTTTAGGATAAAGTTGTGGCCTTTTTAGAAAATTAGGGCCTACTTTATGAAAATGTTGGCTCATTAGAAAGGACCTTTTATCCAAAGAGGTCATTTAAAATTTGGAGGTCACCCAATGTTAGTATTACATGGAGAGTGATTTTAGCATTCATATTCCTAATTTATTAATGGTTAAAAAATCTCTTGTAGGATTGGTTCTGGTTGGTCAGTAAGGTTAAGGCCACTTCCAACCTTCCGTCCTCAATTACATGCCACACAGTGTTGTTGCAAGGTGAATGTCCCACCTCTAACATCACAAAGGTCTAGGGTGGTGACTAGATATAGGCCAGCGTACAGACGAGTCAGGGCTGGAAGCAGTAGATGTGGACTATTTGGATGGAAGCGATGCACACGTTGGAGGAATGAACAATTGTAAGTTAAGGATTCATACACATGTTTTACTTACTTGTAACCATTTATTGATAAAATGATCAATGTTTATTACGTGGAAACAAGAGGTCAAACCTTGTATTCCAGTATTTTCAGTTTAAATTCCAATCATACTAAAATAATTATCCAACACTGGGAGCGTTTCTGAACCTCTGAGTGCTACTTTCATTCTTTGAGGAGGAGGAGGCGGGGAGTTCTTCATACTAGATAAAATATCAACTTAAGTTGTTTATAATGTTATTACAAAATCCTGATTTGTGAGTTATATGAATTACATCTGTTACATCATCATTACTAAGCATTAACAGAAGTATGTTGTTTTTCAGTCAGGTGTCTTACCACCAGACAATCTACTACACACAATATACACCAAGGTCTTGCCCCAAGGTTCAAGAGGTCTGCTGCAGAGGTTTCGTATCATACAAGCGCTGCTGTACAAATATTCGTGAAATGAAACGTTTGTTGGATATCTTTGAAAATGAGCGTGACAAGTTTGAGAGTTTACGAGAATTCCTAATTTCTCAAGGTCACAACCCTGATGCTGGGTGCCCCAAATCTTGCGGACCATAGATATTAATCTAGATATACTGAAGCTCAACACACATGGACATTACTGATTACACATTACAAGGATAAACTTAATAGAGAGCTTTTGCATAACAGTTTTTGTAAAACATATCTGCATCCGTATCTTGATACATTTACATATAATATGTGGCATATCTCTATTTGCCATTTGAATGCAAATGCATGCAGCTCTTTACATTTTACATCATATAATTTCCCACGAATTGAATGCATCATTTGGAGAAACTTAAATTTTGTTGAATGAAAACCAATTCATTTACCAACATGTAAACTAGGTGTAAACACTCATAGTCTGAGAACAATCTGCATGAACTTTTATACTAAGTACTGACCAACACAGAAGCCTCATTCTATGAGTTTGCCATGGCCATGTGTTTGTTCATTGCCATATTGCTGGATATTGCACTGGTTGCATAAGGATTAGTGACATTACACGCATTGATGATGCAACATTTGGCTAAAGAATTATGCAAAGCCTCGCTAATGATTTTTTGGGGTTCTGGAATAAATAAATCCTAAATTCTTATGATCTCATTTGAAATCAAGATAGTTTTTGATAGCACAGTCTACTGTATTTAACTAGACAATATATTTTGCAATAAAAGTATTTTTTCAAGAAACTAAATTGCTATTTGTGTTTATATTATCACACTACCCTACCTCGATCGCGCATGCGCGAATCTTTTGGCTTTCAACCAGGTCGCTTTTGAGTATATCGACTGCTTAGTCAAAAGGTTAATACGTTTGGTGCTCGGAGTGAGTCAATATTGCTATTCGCTACACTTCAGTGGTGCAATAGTGAAGTCCATGTTCCAAGTTATGTGATAGTTGAAGAAAGAATGTAAATAATATCGTTTTAGATTTTAAAATATTTGATATGTCATAGTACACGGTACACAGTTGCAAAAGTTGATCAATACAGGGTACAAGGAATGTAAATTGTTCAATAGTACAGGGAGCGAGAAAGTAAGCTGATTATACAGACATACTATGTCCAGACCTCATGTACATTTACGTTGCAAACAGTGAAAGTAATGCTAAAAAGGCCGCCTGTTGATGCTTTGAGGTGTCATCAATTGTTATTTAATCCAAATAAAGTAAACATTATTTTGTAGATTTAGACACGGGCTTTCAGGTCGTATGCATTTTAGTCATTAAATTAACAAGAACGCTAGATTATACGTGTTACTAAGGTATCAAATTGAAATAAAATAACGAAATTAAATATTAACACGTTAATGATAAATGACTATCCGCTCTCAGTATTAATGACTATCTGCTACTCAGAATAATTAAAATTGCCTGACCTACATGTGAAGAATCTTTCTATAGAACCCCTTGAATGGTCTAATTCACTACCGTCCTCAAAAACCGATCATTCAAAATGTTTTATTCAAATTCACAAAAATACAGTTGACTAACATACTAGAAAACGTATCCACCTATAACACGATGACACACAGTTTAAATAACAGTTAACTGGTTTTTTTGTTACATATCAATGTAACATTTTCGAAGGGAAACTTACATGCTCCCTGTACGTTGATAGATTTACTGAAATGTATCGTGTATTGCATTCGTGTTTTGCTTCACTGCGCCCACTATTATCTATCTTTGCCTATAGTGGTTTTTTGCCAACAATATTCTACACACTGCTTGATGAATCAATTCTATGTCTGGTAGAACACTAAAAATAAATGTAAAATGTATTTTACGTTCTGAAATATGGAATTAAACCCACGTCCTCCATTTGCAACTAAGCTGTACCTTGTTTCCCTTTTAAACGTGGTCACGTGGTAGGGTAGTGTGATTATACACACTACTGTAGTTACACTTAATTTGGCTCCCATTTTAATTTGACGGATTGGCGGATTCAGAAAATCCGTCAAATTTCAGTTCTTAATTTTCGTCCAATGCACTTAAGAAATTAACCTTCTGGGGCCCCTTTTCCTGTTACATGTTATCAATTCTACATTATTCCAAAAGAAATACAGAAAATATCTTAGTAAATACCTGTCCTTATGACATAAACATAGACAAAAATTAAACTTCAGTCCTGAATCCGCCAAATTAAATAGCCGCCAATATTTGAAATTGAGCAAATCCATCAAATTAAGTACATGTAGTGTCAAAATAAGTGTATCTGCAGTTATTTATTATATAATATGAAAATTCTGTATTTCATTTACTATTTTCAAATGAATAAGAAAATTGATAACAGTTTCGGCAGGTTCAACCAAACAATAAAAACATGGGGTATTTTGAAAGTCCTTTGAAGCAGATTGTGAAGGTGATACTGCAAGCCATTTGAATTCATATATGAAGAAGATCTGCAATTTGCTATTATCAGGAAACTCCCAGAATGCAATCATTTTGAAATAGAATGCCACTTCGGAAAAGCTGCCCAGCAAACATCCTGAAATTTAAAGCATTTAAAAATGCATAAAATCAATTAAGATTGTATCTGCATGTGGCATGGTTAAACCTTAAAGTTAACATTTGAAATTTAGACACCATTGGAAGTAAAATTGGAATAACAATTCAGAAATCCCCTAAAGGGATATAAATATCCAACAAATTCTGTTCTGTTCTCTATCTTGAACAAAGTTTGATGAATATAAATCAAATTGAACCTGATGTAATTATTGTTTTCATTTTCATCTGTTGGAGAGAGTGATTATTTCTCTGTCAGTGTCGATATAAAGAGAAAATTCGTTCAGACATAGGTCTGTAGGTCCTATCCCCATAATGTGCATCAATGGTACTTTCGTTATTTTCTGGACAAGGGAATGGAATGGATTGATAGGATTTTTTTGCAAATCTGACTTCCAAGACCAACCTTAAGTAATTTGATTGTAAGAATATATATAAGTCATGTGATTTATATTGCAGGTTAACCAAATTTCTGAGTTTACTGAAGATATTAAGAATGGCTAGGTTGTTGAGATACATCTATAAGATGGAAGAGGTAACTAAATCTATAAAAAGCAAAGTGGAAAATTTGTGTCTGATATTTTTATCAGAATTTTTTTTAGAATAATGTTTTACATTATAAGGCTGCAGGCCCCTAGCCAGCTTTTGCCAAAGCGTTTCAATTTTTTAAAAATTCCAGAGGATTCACATCTGACAACATTCGCCCCAAATCACTTGAAAAGTGCTTAGAAACGTGAGAACTGCTTTATTTGAAAGAATTCTTGGCCGGGAGGTGGGGGGGGGGGGGGGGGGGGTGCTACAGGCCTGGGCTTATCAATTATATGTACAGAACATTTAAGGCAAAAAAGATTACCTTGACATATCTTAGCAGATATTTTGGATATTTACAAAGGATTCCACCATATAAATCTGTACAATTGTTATTACAGATACTGGACATTGATGCAAGTGTGATCCGTATTTTCAACCTGATCATGATGGTATTGGTGATGTCTCACTGGAATGGCTGTATGCAGTTCTTCATTATGTATATCAATGACTTTCCAGCTGACAGCTGGGTTACAATCAACAATTTACATGTAAGAACACTATAGAAAGGTAAAATCTATGTCTTTCAGTTTAGAAATGGAATTAAATTGTATTTTGCTCAAAAGTTAAAAAAAATTATAAATCAGTGTTCTTTTATTTAATTTTTTCCAATTATGAGTTAATTAAAATTAATTAGGCAAGAAAACAAAAATACAAAAATACCTGAGTATTATTAGTGTTTATGATAGTTTTATACTTTTTTGGCATATTCTGAAAATCTGCAAAATGAATCCGTTAAAAGGGATTTGCTATACTGTATGTTTTTTTATTTCAATGACTACTTTTCTTAAAAAGACTAAATCTTATTCAAAAAATTTCACTCGTCAAAATTTTCAAGAAAATCTTGAAATTAAAATTTTCTACTCGATTGAAATGAATGTGGGACTAATCTCATATTAGTCATACTCACTATGTAAAATAACTCACTGCTGACATTTTTTACACTTTAAATTTTGAACTACATCATAGTTTTTCATAATCAAATTATTAAATCATATTATTCCTATTGTCATGATAAACAACAGTTGTCAATAGAATAAGATTTCAGTTTTTGAATAGAGCTATTTTCTTATGATATCACAGCATTTTTCTCAAGCTCATTATTTAAAGGGTTTTAATAGCTCATCTTTTTCATCCTAATTAACCATAAACTATTTTCAATACATATTGATATCTATATGTAACTTAACACAATCAATAGACTTATTAGCGAAAATTTAAAAAGTACTTAATGTAGAATGTATGTAAAAAAGGTTTGAGAAGTTTTCTCAGTTTTTGAATTGGCCATACTGCTAACTATACAAGGTAAGAAATTTTTTCCAGATAAAAAGGTTTGTGTTCAAGTCTATCGATTGTGTAAGTTGCATATAATAAATTATGAATAAAAAGTATAGTAGGGTTTAATAATAAATAATGCACCCATAGACCAGGTTCCACCTAAGCATCAAGTTCAACAGATCTTGAGGATATAGTTTGTCAGGGGGAAACTGTGTCATTGGTGTATAATCAGCACACCATATTTTCTTTACAAAATTGTTTCATGTATTTCCAGTTACCAAATGTAACGGGTGTGGAAAAATATACATATTCATTGTTCAAAGCCATGTCACATATGCTGAGTATTGGGTATGGCCAGTATCCCCCAAGAAACATCCTCGAGATTTGGTTAACGATGGTGAGCATGATGATGGGCGCAACCTTCTATGCACTTTTCATCGGAAACATGTCTGGCCTCCTTCTCTCAATGGACTCATCAGGGAGGATGTACAATGAAAAGGTAATATAAAAAAGTTATGCTACATTAATTTTTTCAGCTTCCAAGTGCAACCAACTTGGATAAATACACGCATTCATTGTTTCGTGCCATGTCACAGATGGTTTGCATTGGGTTCGGTTCAGATGTCTCAAGATCTCCTCTGGAGATATGGTGCACTATATTTAGTATGATGATGGGGGCAACATTGTATTGTTTGTTCATAGTATCCACAAACAATCTCATACAAACAGTAAACAGACCAGAAAAGACATACAATAAAAAGGTCTGTGTACCAACCTGTATTTAAGTCCAACATGTAATATTCAACAATAAGGCCATAAGAAGTAGATTCTTTGTTTTGCGTCCCCTTGCTTGCACGATTTTGAGTAAATCAGAAAAAACAAACACATCCAAATAGCAATACTGCAATAACAAGGGTCAGAAAGTACCATTGCATTTCGTTCAATGAGAAGCAGACGAAATGGCGGATAATTTGATGTGCATCAAAATTGACAGTGTTATTGGTTACTTTGACATACATTGTGTATTTTCTTATTTTTTACCCTTGAATAATAGCTATGTTTAAATATATTGTATGAAATGTATAGATATGTGTTTGTAGTCACTGCAAATTGGTATGTCATCCCTTTTTATGCCCATAAAATGTATACATTTCTCAGCAAACAAGTTTGTGTTTTTTCTTGAGTTTGTGTTTGTTTTTCTTGTACCCTTGCATGAATTGGATTTTGTCAGGACGCAAAACAAAGAATCTACTTCTTATGGCCTAAGGAGGTTAAGCTAAACATTTTTAAAATAACTTGTATGTGAATGTGTACTATTATGACCCCGGATTACTTTCTCCCTCTCGAATATTTTTTATGATGTTTATTTCAACTATTTTCCTTATATGTCATACTACAAAGGGGAGAATGATTCATATACAGTAGAACCTGTATATCCGAACACCTGGCTAATCTGAACACCTTCCAATTTGAACATTTTTTTTCGGTCCCATTTTTTACTCTCATTGACTCCCATGTTAAAAAAACCTAGAAAATCTGAACATCTCCTAATCTGAACAGTGAAGGTCCATGATCATTAATCATGGGCGTAGTGCCTGTCACGTACATTATGCCCGTGTGTACCAAATGAATTTGAAAAAAAAAAAAAATGTGTCAAATGCATTAATTTGTTTGCACATTATTGATGATTCTGTATTTGTATATTTAACCATTAAGTTTTATCAGAATAGAACCATTTCAAGGTGATAAAAATGCTCAGATTGGATCAAATAATGTCTCCGGAAAAAAATTCCCGGGGAGTATTCCCCAAACCCCCAAAGATGCGCCGCCTTCGGCCACGCAATCAGACATCCCCAAGCCAGTGTACCAACTTAGAATATAACCATTCGCCATTGTTAATTCTGCACATTCACGTACGAGTTCTCTGAAAAATGTGGAGCTTAACCTCTCTTATGTAAGCATACTTGGATCAAAATGCATACCTTGTGGAGAAAAAAATTGAATAAAACATTATCTCAAGATGATTCTTTGCCTAATATAATATACAAATACATACATTTAATATCAGAATAATTTAGCCTACTTCATAATTTTCAATTTTTTTTGTTATTGTGATCCTTTTTTTAACAAATTACTTTCAAAATATTTTACATCAATTAAATTTTGTATTAATTTCTTCCACCTGTAGATTGCGCAAGCAAAGGAGTACATGCGTTACAGGAGGGTCCCTTATAGTCTACAGAAGAGAGTTTTGGACTACTATGATCATAAATACCAACGGAAATACTTTGATGAAGAGCTCATCGCTCATGAACCTCATATGTCAAATGAACTGAAGAAGGTGAGAAATTATATATATTTGCCTCAAAATGTTGACTTCTGTAAAACATTAATTTAGTAGGCATTTTCAGATTTTGATTCTCTAGATAATGTTACCTTCTCAATAGAATACCACTTGTAGAAGATGCAGATTTCTTAGCCCAGGCTTTTGAACATTGACTCATCCCTTCTTCCTTTATAGGAGATCATGCTGCACAATTGTAAACCACTTGTAGACACTGTTGATTTCTTAGCCCAAGGCTCCAGTGATTTTGTGTGTGATGTCATAATGAAGATGCATTTTGAAGTGTATCTCCCAGGGGATAGAATAATCCAGGCAGGTTAGAAATCAGGGCTGCATTGCCAAACCATTTTTTAAATGCTCTAAAATTCATTGTTACAATTACAGCACTGGCCTGGGGGCCCGGGCCCCCCCCCTTGGGTGGGCCCAGAAAAAAAAAATTGGGCCCAAAAAAATTTTGGGCCAAATAAGGCCTTAAGGCCCCAAAAAGTGGGCCTTTTTGGTCATAACTGGGCCTTTTAAGGCCTTATTTTTTAATTTCAGGCCAAATTTTGAAGAAAATGGGCCTCAAAATTTCAAAATTTGGGCCCACTTTTGGGTTTTAGGGGCCCAAAATTTTTTTCTGCGCAAGCGCGAAAGTTTTTTTCTCTGACCTGAAATTTGGGCCCCCCCCCTTGTTGGTTCCCAGATCCGCCCCTGCACAGTGCATCAGTATAACCAGATGTTTTCAAATGGAATGGTCATATATATTGATATCTTTGATAGAAAAAACTTGATTTACCACAAATAAATTCCCAAATTATAAGTAAGTTCTTGTCTCCTTTTTTAATATTCAAAAAATTCTGCATTTTTCTTAAAGTTTCTCTGACAATTGGCAATCTTGTTCAAAAGAAATAAACAAATCCTCTATCAAAGTTCACTTGTTAACAAATTATCTATTTGTTTCAGGCAAGAAAGGTGATTCTATGTATTTCATAGAACATGGGAAGGTTGAGGTTGTTCTTCCTAATGGGGAGGTTGTCAATAGATTGGGTGATGGTCAACACTTCGGAGGTAAACAATGTTGAAATGTTTTATTATTCTGTATTTGGAGCAGACATTATGCGCTTATGTTTTTATCCCAGGCTCTTAAATCAGTTGAAGCCAGAGAATTTTTTGCAGCTTTTGACATTTTACAACGTACCTATACAATTTTAAATGCTCAACTTAGTACAACGAGACAGCAGAGATCATTTCTACACATTTTGAAACAATTTTTGTGTAAATTGGATGAAAATTGTTCAAATAAGAGCAATTTTAGTGAAAAAGCTTTGTGACGGATTTTCTCGTCACTCTAGGTTTCAAGGTCATTTCTGAAATGACGAGAAATCTAGTCACTCAAGGTAGTCAAGAGGTTAAAAATGTCAGCTAAATATTGTTATAGCCATCATATTTGGTGTCAGTAACAAATGGTTACAGTTTTGTAATTGAACCCACATGGATTAAAGTGATAGGAGGAGTTAGATAAAAAATCAAATCAGATGTCAGAATTTTTTTTTGCTTACATCATTCAATGCCATCCCTATTTACTAAAATTTCCAACAGTTCTGACTTTATTTCAGAAATTGCTTTGTTGATGGATGAAAGGCGTGTGGCTTCTGTTGTTGCCCTTGAGATGTGTGACTTGTACCTGCTTTCCAGGGAAAACTTTAAATCTGTCTTGACTGAGTACCCACAAATGGGCAGAAAGATTGAGAGTGTAGCTCAGGCCCGGTTAGAAAGCATACGTAAGGACTACCCTGAATTATATGACACCTTCTCGGAAAAATACAAGTTAGTATTAATTTCTACTCGCCTACTGCACGTGCTCATAAGTCAGGTAGAATATTAATATTGTTTTTAGCTTGAAGAAAATATTTTCCACACCCAAATTAATTTTATGTAAAAATGTAACATTGATATGATATTTTTTACCTGATATTTGAAAATTTTTATCATTTTTTGTAAACTGGTTTCCATGACTGAAAAAGTTGTTTTATACATTTTCCCAAAAAAGTTTGCATTTTTGTTTTTCAAATATTCAAATTTCCTTCCATTTTTTCAATAAAAGATGACATAATAAAATCTTCAAATGTTCAATATGATATAATAAAACAGCATACAATTACCAACAATTATTTGAAAGCTAAAGACAAAATAGATTAACTTAGAGTAAGTTCTTTCCTGATTTGAAAATGTATAAATTATGTAATATGAGAGTATAATTAGTATACTAATTATTTATGAGGTACCCTGTACTTTCACTATGAATGGATTCCTGTCCTGAAATCTCAACAAAAAAATAATGAGTGGCAACTGTATCATTGATTGTAGGAGCAGTCAAACTTCGACAATCCCTTCCGAGAGTGAAAGTATTCCATTGGCTACTAATTCTACTGCCACAACTGACTCTTCAGTACAATCTCGAAAGAAAAATCCAACAATAAACATGCCGCCTGTAGAACAATGAAAACTGGGCGCCAGTTAGAAACACATCCATTTTTGCAAAGAAATGGTCAGCTCAGCTTGGATAAATGTAAAGGTGGTGAACCAGGAACAGTTAAAAACTGAACTATTTTCACCCAGTCACTAACTGAGCTCAATGCCAACGTTGCCAACTTAGCTCTAGTCAAAAAACACACAATTTCAAATCTATAAAAAGCTAGTTTGTGTTCATATAAACCTTGGCCAGTTCCATCAACAGTTTATTGTATTTAAAAAAAGTATTCTTTACTAGTAAGTGCCAGTCCTGGATTTATGGCAAGCAATGAGTATTATGACGTCCACTGATACACTATGCTTAACATAAATCCACACAATCTGTTAATGTTTATAATTGTTGAGTGGGTATTTCCTTAACTCAATACTGATATGGCCTAACTCACCACGTAGGTTCGGCCATATCATAAAGTGAATATGTCACTTTAGGAAGTAATGGTGGAGTAAATTATTAGATTTGTTCTTTCGTGTATTTTAAACAATTCTGGAATCTCTTCTTCGTATAAACAGGATTATGTTTAGGTAGTAAGCTAGGACACAAAAATGTTTTTACCAGTGAACAAATTGAAATTACTTGTTTCTTATGTATTTTTATGTGATACTTCAGAATTTTTTTGTCTGACGCGCCGTATCCGGGGCGAAAGTTGCCAAAGTGGGGTTTTAGACCCTAATATAGAAAATAACAGGGGGTACTTTATTATCCTTGAATAACTTTTTCAGTTGATCCTTAATCATCACAATAACTTTACTGGAAGTTGTTAATATCATTCTTAACTAGTATGCAAAGTTTCAATGATCTGTCATTAATGGTTGTCATGGAAACCATGATCTTTGTTGAAAAAGTCCATAATTTTGGTAAAACCTTTACCTCTACATCATACAGAATAGGCATTATTTTTCAACTCAACAGATATCAGAACATGTTAGTACTCTAAGAATTATCAGGACAGTTCAGACATTTGTTTAAATATAATAGATATTGTTATTCACATGATTGGTAAGTGTCACAGACCATACAATTACATAGGTGATCAAAAGTGGGCGTCGCCCTTATAATAGTAGGTGATTACGTTTCCCTATAAATACAGATTTTAAGTTGACTTGAGATACAATTCTGTTACCATAATCTATATCAAGCAATTCTGGAAGATACATATAAGTGTTGTAGGTATTACATCATGCTAGGGATGGGGGGAGTATATGGGGGGGGGGGGGGTAGAGGTAACCAGCCTTATATAAAACTCATATATAAAGTTTTAGTTTAAAAGTGGGGTTTGCCTTCATTATAACAGGGTTCATACACCTTTTTAAAATGAAAATCCCTGACATTTTCAGGCAAAAAGGAAAGTCTTGCCCATCCCACTAAAAAGTCTCAAACAACTGTATTATTTAAGACAAGACATATTATGAAACATTTTGGGGTTCTCATTTAGTACCATTTTCTCATACCGGTAACTTAGAATTACTTCTAAAAGCCATCTTATTCACCAATTTATTCCTGATAGATTACATTTTTAATTTTACAGATTTTACATTGCATAAGGTTAAAGGTAAACATACTTGTACAGGGAGTACCCAGTAAATGTTAAGGGGGTGAAATTATTTGGGTTTGCATCACTATGAGTGAAGCGAAACCCAAAAGCGAATACTGCGGTTCACCTCCCGAAATTTTTAAAAATTTACATTGTAAATGGTGCATTCTAAGCATTTCAAACTATAATTTGTCAACTACTGATCATTGTTAACATTATATGATAACAATAACCTGGCATTACTATTGTCTTCTCCCTTTGGGAAAATCCACACCAAGACATGACACCATATTAGAAATTCCTTCTCTAGTAGCGACACTATACGGAATAGTCCCATGATACCAAATAAAATATTCGGTATTTGTATTATCAGGAATCATGCTTCTTCTGAAAACAGCAACTTTTTGAGTAGCAACAACCTTTTTTCTAGAGCATGTGCCCATCTGCACAATTAATCTGAACCAAAAATGGTGAAAGTGTCTTTTTGAGCAGAGGCCCTATATGACCAAAGCATCAGTTCATAAAGTTTGAACAAAATCTGTGAACTGATATTTGAGTTATTGCCTTGACAGATGGGCAGATGAATAGACTGATGTAAGACCAGACTGTGGAACAGACAGCTTTGTGGAAACAACTGAATGTTAGAATTTGGATTTCATTGATATCCTGTCATAGCCTAAAATGTATTTTGCTGGAACATTATATTTCAACATTGATACAAAATTCCCTGACATATCTACTGTTTCAAAATTCCCGGACATTTTTGACTCTTTTTGACCCAGTTTTAACATTCCCTGACCTTTCCAGCACCTGGAAATTAAATCAATTTCCCTGACATTTCTATTCTTAATTCTAAATATGGAGTTTAACTTATAAGATACAATTATACTGTATATCTGTTACCATAATTCATATCAAGCATTTCTGGAAAACACATATAAGTCTTGAAGTGGGGGGATAGAATGGGTGGGTGTGGGGGGGGGGCTATGCTAGCCAGCCTTAGGTATAAATCTCATCAACATAATTTTGTGTCTCATAGTCAGTATATTTCTTGGCCTTGCATTTTCTTAGCATTATATTTTTCCCTTTGGTTAAGTTGCTGCCAAGCCTCTTCTCATCATTTCATACCGAAATATGTGAAGCCCTCCCAGCACTTCACACTTTCACTGGGTGTAACACTGTAAGTGCCATGGTTCGGAGGGGCAAAGTAACACCTTTCAAAACAATGGCAAAGGTGGAGAATCATACAGACACATTCAAAGGACTAGGACTCTCAGCAGACATAAATGACGAAACAACCAGTAAAGTAGAAAAGTTTGTATATACCATATACAGGGTGTTTCATATGTATGCACCTTATACATTAAACTCATACATGTAGCATTGCCACCGTATTATGTTATATATCATTTTGTTCCTTATGAAAAGTTAATTAGGACTGAAAAGTTTCAGAATCAAGAGGTGTCCCTGAAAAAAGATACAATCCAACAAAATATGTGGGTAAGGGGTCATTTATAAGCACTTTTGTAAGGATTTTTATGCCTGTCTGGAGATCGGTTCACTTTGTCTGCTACCCAATTATGGCGATAAAGGTGGTCCCATGGTCCCTAAACTCCCTATAAGCCACACCATGAATCCTGTCTATACCTCTTTGTGCATAACTGCCACTGATATGTGGACTGAGCTCTGCCATGGTGACAATAGCAAGAAATGTGCAATACGGAAACTAAATTTGTCCTTTAAATTGTCCTCAAAATCACCAGAAATTGCCGTCTAAATGACCGGTACCCACAATCTAGATTATAACTTTTGTCAGTGACACCCCTGGATTCTGAAACTTTGGAATCTTATGTAACTTTCCATAAGGCACAAAATGATATGTAATATGATACGGTGGCAATGCTACATGTATGAGTTTAGAGGGGGGGTGCATACATATGAAACACCCTGAATACTAGTATGGGAAACCTCAAATATCCCAAATCCAGATATGTGTTAAGCCAGATATGTGTTATTTAAAGAGAAGTTTAGGCCCCATACTAAAACAATAACTGACAATGAAGGAACAGATATTAGTCTACTTCCCCCTTGTTAAGACTCCCCAATGCATCACTTAGCAAGAGCCAACTACCAGGCACTTATCTGGCGTATAGCCCATTTTGAAAAAGCTAATATTTCAGCACCAGATGGGCATGGGTGGAAACTTAATGATTCTAATGTTACGTTCGAAAATAACAGAAAGTAAAAACAGCAATTAAAATATGATAACAATATATTTATGTTTTGAAAACTAAATAATATAACAATAATATAAAGGAGGTTTAATACTTAAGTGATGTTCAATCAATGATACGGCTTATTCTTGATGTCGATAAATGTCGTTGACGATCCTTGAGAATGTTCCAGATCACGAAGGTTTCAATAATCGTTAATGTTCTCCAATGTTTGTAATAATCCAATAATGTTTGTCGTAATTCTATAATGTTCGTATCCAATAATGTTTGATGATAATCCACAAATGTTTGATGATAATCCACAAATGTTTATGATAATCCACGAATATATATGATAATCCGTATATAATGTATGTTGTAATATATGTCCATATAAAGTCCTCAGGTTGTGTGTTTGTAGTGTTATAAATGTTCCCACAGTATGTGTCTGTTATTTTCTGCTAAGAAGATGTCCTTTGATCAACTTTGAAATTCTGCTTTATTTAGTTCCTTTGAGATGTCCAGTTATGATTACTTAATTATCTGCTACTGAGTCCACTTTGCAGTTTTATTTATAGTGTGAAAGAATCATCTAGAAAGAATCTTCTGGAACTGAGACTACTTGTTGAGTTTTGATTGGACATCTCCAGTCACATGATTAAGTCTTAATGAATGGTTATATTTTCTAGAACTCTCTGGATGGTCAAGAGTTAACGAGTCATTCAGTTCAGTCCTGTTTACAAGATACAGTGTATAATGTCATTGTGACCTTGACCCAAGATCTCTAATAAAGATCAGTTACAGTATATACATATAGATAAACTAAACTTAATGTGAATATAATAAAACATAATACTGTAACACCTCCCTCCTTAAAAGAAAAGTTTGAATATAATGAAAAACTTTTACAATAATATCTGGTGTGGCGAGGGTTACAATTTTTCAAAGATGAGGTTGAGACTTACATAACATTTGTTTACAATAGTCAAATGCAATACTATTTATATAGTTACAGACTGAGTAAAACCCAAAAGCATATTACAATAATATTATCAAATCACACTCGAAGTACAATCTTTTATTATATTATATTAGCACAAAGCCTTAAGCATATGCAGTATAAGTCAAATAGCCTCTTAGAAATAGAATTACACTCTTGAAAGAGTATCAGCAATTAAATTATCCTTGCCTTTGATGTGTCTTATGTCAAGATTGTACTCTGACAATAACAGACTCCACCTCAACAATCTACGATTTTTGTTCTTCATTCTATGAAGGAATGTCAGCGGATTGTGATCAGTAAATACAGTAACTGCATGAACTGGTGCACTAACATATACTTCAAAATGTTGCAATGACAGAAGTAATGCTAGACATTCCTTTTCTATGGTAGAGTAGTTTTTCTGATGTTTATCAAATTTCTTTGAATAATAACACACTGGATGATCAATACCATCCTTTTCTTGTAATAGGACAGCCCCCATTCCTACATCAGAAGCATCTACTTGAATTTTGAATGGCTTGCTAAAATCAGGTGCAACAAGCACTGGTTCTTCACTAAGTATGGCCTTGATTTTATCAAAGGCTGTATGACATTGCTCAGACCACACATATTTGATGTTTTTCCCAAGTAAATTGGTCAATGGAAGAGCAATTGAAGAGAAATTTGGACAAAACTTCCTATAAAAGCCAGCCATTCCAAGACTTCTCATTAATTCTTTCTTGTTAGTAGGAGCTGGGAGTTGTGTAATTGATTCCAATTTGGCACTCACTG